TTTTTTACATTTTAGTCTTTATTATTTTTATTTTAAGTTTAATTTTGATAAAATTATTATTTGATTTTTTCACATATCATATTAGCATCTTGTGGATACATATCAAGTTATTATTTTGGATAAGACACCAACAATTTAATATATATTATGTGCTACCAAAGATTTAATATATGTTAAAATGCAAATATAAAAAAATAAAAATTAAAATGGTTAATCGAACAATTACTTCTAATATTATGCCTTTTAAATTATAGCTTGGTCACTTTACCCTTCAAGTTGATAAAATCATTTTTTAAAATTTGAAATTTAGATGATTCAAGTTTTTTTTAAGGGTGACAAGCGTCGTAATTGTCAAGTAATTAATTTTTTTCTCAGATAATTATGATTTAAACGTAATATAGGGAAGAAAGGTGTCAGTCCACATGGATTCGAAAATTTCTAATTCTGAATTGATTTGATCTTGAACCAAGAAATTTGTAAAACAAAAAGATTAAAAAGATGGGGTTAGAATAATCAAGTAAACTAAATAAAATTAAATTAAAGTAACGAAAGCAAGAAAAGTAAATTGTAGAAAAATTAATTATGATGAGAGATAGCCACTGCTTTCTCTTTTCTTCAATCTGTATCGATGGCTGAAATAGATTTTACGTTGGTTATTTATCAATTACAGTCTACAATGCTTAATCCTTGTAACTTGTTCTTCTCTCTAGTGAACTAATTTTCCAAAGTCAATCCTTGGAATCTAGCACTTGTTTGGATTAACAACGCCCTTCGTTGTTATCGCCAATGCTGGTTTAGGAATTGAAAAACCCGTGCTCGGATTATGGTGTCTAAATGAGAATCAAATCCGATCTTGATTTCCCTTAGCGGACTGCCGCTAAGTTTGTTCTTAGGGAATTAAATTTGCTACAAGCCGACTCTCCTCCCCAACTGTAGATCACAACTTCGATCAAGGTAATATGCACTATTTGGATTGAAGATAGTGAGGCATAATAGAACAAATAAGGCATTTTAAAAACATGAGTAAACCATTACAAGATCAAAATACGATTTATCGTATAAAATACATAAAAGCATAAAAACTGACTTGATAAGCCAAATTTCCATAAAGTAACTTGCTAAACAATATTTTGTATGCCTATCATACTTATAAATCAATATATTCAAAATATCCTTTCACATCCTAATGTACGACAAATGAGAAAGCAAGGTGCACAATAACATGAAACTAACCAATTTCTGAATAGTAATCCCGTAAGACTACCATCCTTGCACACAAAGTATCATAGTATACAAATTACTACTACAAGTACACAAAGTACTACTACAAGTACACAAAACACTCTTGCCATAGTACACAAAGTACTACTCCAAGTACACAAAATACTCTTACCATAATACACAAAATACTACTTCAAGTACACAAAGTACTCTTACGAATATGCAATAAGCATTTTCTAAATCGATAGATATCCATCTCACACCAAGTATGTCAATTACATACATAGTGCTACAGTACACAAAGTACTATTACAATACCACCTTATTATGATATTATTTTTGCACCTATAACTCTCCATGCACATATAATAGGCTTTAAAATCCAAATCGCAAGTTAAACATTTATTCTAACCCATCAATAAACAGTAATTTGTATGAAACACGTCCATTCATTTTAGGGCAGTTCATACCCTAAAATCTTTCATAAAAATCATTTTCATAAACTTTATGAAAATATTTCAAAATACGGTAATACATGCTTTTATAAAAACTTTCAAGGTTGACTCATCGCAAGTCTTCCTCATATAATATAAGTACATAATAAATGCACTCACATTGACACTTTATATATCTAAAGATGTGCCTCACTATGCTCTACACTAGATTTTTTATATTTGATTTACTTTGATCAGAAAACTCAATCACAAATTGATGTCGATACATATGTTAGTATTATACTAACATAATCATATCCCCAAAACAAAATCCATAATATACTTAGAACTTATTTTCTACCAAAATACAAACACTTAATAATTCCTTTTAATATTGGCACCAACTTTTCCAATTTACACAAAATGGTCATTCACTATTTTATCACTTAAATTTTAATGCAAAATTTCCAACACTGAAATTATTACTATCCAAGTACTTTTACAAGGTACAATTACATTTGAGTACTCCAACTATACGTATATTGCGCTTAGATAATCAAGCTTTCCAAACTTCCAAAATGATTATATTTCACATATTAACACTCATTTCAATTCCAAAACAATAAATTCCAGCATTGTACATCAACTATTAGACAATTCCACAACCATTCAAACATTTTCCAAAATTACCGAATTGGTCTCCCAACTTTTCAAAAATTGCATAATGGTCCCCAATTTTTTCTAAGGCTTGTAACATACTTCCTACATCAATTCTAGCCCTTTTAAAATTTTTTTCATAATTTTTCTCACTCAATAATACCTGGTTGAATGCTTTAACCTTTAAATATATGTTTTCATGATTTTTGCTCGATTTTGATTCGATTCAAGCATGAAATCAACTTCCAAAGAACTTTACAACATCTCTATAATCAAAGCCCTAATCAACTCTCATCAAAATACAAAGTTATACAATTTCCTCTTTTGACTGAAAATCATATAACCATTTCTAGGAAGTTTGAACATGTTCTAATCATAAATCAAGCTTGAAAATGAATCTACAAACTATAAATCATCAAGATTTATCATCAATTTCAAAAACCCTAGTAAGAACACAAATCCTAAGATTTGGGGATTTTTGAAAACAAACAAGTTGAGCAAGCATAATTGGTACCAAAAGATAGTGTTTTTCGAATATATAATTTTTCTATTTCACGACATAACTTGAAATCCAAATAAAATAGCTCAAAAATGGAAACCAAATTTTTTTCCTTACCTTAGGATAGCTCACGTCACTTTGGAGAAGAAGATGAATAAGTTGGCATGAATTTGAGATAATTTCATGCTAATTTACCTTTTAATTTAAATTTTAATTAATATTATATTCATTAAATTGAAAAAAAATATCAATTTACCCTTAATGAAACTTAATATTTACTATCTAATCAAAAGACCTCAACCTTATCATCTTCTTAAAGTCAAAGATGAACGAACAATATCTTACTTTACCGATTTGCCCTTATCTTTTTTCAAAAATTACAATCTTGTCACTTTAATCCAACAGTCCATATTAAACATGGAATTAAATCCTAAAATCCAAAGATTTATATTATTTTCCAACATTTAAAAATATGAAAATAATATTTTGAGGTCTAATTTATCATCCTTCAGATTTTCCTCAAATTTTATTCGGTCTGATTTACATAATTTTTCCTCAAACTTCATTGTTTTATAACTTTTAATACAAAACCCGTATTGAAATTCGGATTCCCACGGAAACGTTATTCTTGAATTAAACTATTTATTTATGAGGCCAAAATGTAACTTTTAAAATTATCATTTTGATTCCTAAACTTTTTCTAAATTTATAATTTGGTCATTAAACTTTCAAAATTTATATTTTGGTCCCTAACAAAATCAATTTATGAAATAAAGTTCTTATTGAGAAAATTTACCACTTAGGTTCTTAAAGTTTTCTCAATTTTCTATTTTAACCATCAAACTTTTAAAATTTATATTTTGGTCACTATCAAAAATTTGGGGTATTACAAGTTAATCCTACGTTCCCTAATCTTCTTAAAGCATCAAGTTCAACGTGTTCTATCGATATGTATTTAATCACAATTTCTAGAATATTAAAATTAATCTGGTTACACTCAATAAAACAAATGAGCAATAATGAAAAATGTATGCTCATTTAGGCTTAAATCTCACAAGAAAATGTATTGTGTATTGAATTAAGAAACATATCAACCAACGGATTCATGGAACATCACACAAAAAAATTAAGGAAAATACTAATCATGTTGTTTTTACTATCGTGCGCCATAAATTCAAAAAGCGTGATCATGAACTCATAAGGTAATCAATGAAACAAAGCAAGATTCAAGATTAATAACAAGAGATTTCAACAAATCAACCAAGACAACTTAATTTCAACAAATCTAAGTGTGTTGTAAGGTTACATCTTTTCCTAAAAGGTTTGAACAAATTAGAGAATTTGTTGAAATTCTAGTGTGTAAACTAAAGTAGTAGATATAGACTTCATTAAGGAAGTTTAACCACTCTAAAATTGCTTGTGTCTATTTTTCATTTTCTAGTAAAAAACTTCTATCAAATTTTTAGTTGCCAATCCTCTCCCTCTTGATAGTTTTATTGGTTCGATTAACTCAACAATTTGATTTGTTTTAATTTACACCATGTCATATTCGAAGCTCCAATTTTTTATAAATATTTTTATTCTATCTGTGCTTGAGAAAATATTATGCACATTTTACGAAAAAATTAAAAGATTTTAAACTTGGTGGTCGTTTTGATAGCCTAATAGATATCTTATGTCCCTCGTATATTGTGAATCTGGTTTAAGTTGTTATAATCCAACCAAAAGAAGAAATAACAAAGTTTGAATCTCTTATTCCCACAATTTCAACAAACAAAAAATCTTCTTCTATAGTTGTCGTTAGTTTAAAGAGTAGCTAACCGAGTTAGGTGTCCAATATTATATAATGGTATTTTGATTCTGCCTGTCGGTTATTTCCTGTCCATTTCTATGGTAATTTTTTTAAATTTTTTGTTTCTTATTTGAAATTAGGTTTGAGATTTCAAGAAATTTCAAAACTTATGTAATATGATTGAGTGATCATTTTATTACTTTTTGAAATATCAGTGACTATGTTTTTAACCTTTTCACTTTAGTGGTGAAACCGAAAATGTACTCAAACTTTAGAGACCATTGATGTAGTTTATCCGAGAGAAAATATTGGAGCGAGGCAAAAGAGAAGTCAAACTCAAAATGGGTCACAACTGGTCTCTCGGTTTTAGGGTTCACGCTTGAGAACATCATCATTACTTTAATACTTAAATAGAAATAAGAGAAACAGCTCGTCTCTCTGCTCCTCAGGGAACCTCAACTCACTCACTTGCTCACAAACAAATCCGTCTATCATTTCAGGTAACTATCTTCTCTCACTTTTGGGGTTTACCTTTATTGATTTATTTTGTGTTTTTGTATTGGGCGGGTTATCATTCATTTGCTTGCTTCCCTAATTCATTTCCACGGTTCGGCTCTCTGCATCCACTCTAACTTCAATTCCCCGTCATAAAAGCTTCTCAAAGATTACAATGAATTCATATTTCTTTGATTCTTGTTTGAGATGAGTTAACTGTTTTCTTTTTCCTCTTTGTTCTAGCTTATTTTATTATTCACTTCTGGTGGGGGTGCACATGGACCAGGTAATCGAATTAGATCTGTCATTTCAGTTTATTTCAATTTCCTTATTTTCTTGCTCCCTTATGCACCCCCTGAGATTTACAGTACGAGAAAGTAGAGAAGATTGGTGAAGGAACCTATGGCGTTGTCTACAAGGCTCGTGACCGCGTTACCAATGAAACAATTGCTTTGAAGAAGATTCGCTTAGAGCAGGAAGACGAAGGTGTACCTAGCACTGCAATTAGAGAAATCTCGCTCTTGAAGGAAATGCAACATGGAAATATCGTTAGGTAGGCAATGCACGTCACTGCACGGCTCAGCATATAATCACATTGCTGTTTCACCACTCATTAGTTTACACAACTACACTGATTTCAATTTTTCTTCTGCTACTCTTTAATCACTTCATATACATTTTTTAGACAACAAAACTCTGTTCATTGCTATCTAGTCATGTTTGTGAAGCCTGCCAAAGAATTTTACGTTTTTTTACTATGGATGCTACTTGAATATAACATGAAGTGTGAATAAGTTATAGGAAATCTACATGTTGCGCTGAGTGCATAAGGAAGGGTAAATGGGAACTGCATAATAATAATAAAAAATATAAAAACAGACATGTCATATTTTCTGTAGGTGGGTGATATTGCTCTACTTTCGTCATGGATGTAAGTCAAAGTAGGTTGGTTAGTTAAGCCCATGAATTGGCATTTTTAGATATCATATTTTGATATCATGATATATTCTGGTCATATTTTGAATATGAGTTATTTTCTTTTGTCTATATTGCCTGTAACTGTCTTTCAGCCAGCTTCTCTGATTGCTCTTTTGGTGACAGGCTGCAAGATGTAGTGCACAGTGAGAAGCGTTTATATTTGGTCTTTGAATACCTGGACTTGGATTTAAAGAAGCACATGGATTCATGTCCAGAATTTGGGAAAGATCCACGAATGATTAAAGTGAGTCAGATTATTCTTCTGTTTGAAGGGTTTTATGCTCAAAATTTTCCACTTTGGACTTTAACAGTGCTAGAAAACCCGAGAATAATTCAATAAACTTATTGCCAATGGAAGATTACATATAACATTCGAAACTACCAGCCTACAAGGTACTTTGAGGGACCTTTTTCCTCTCAAAACTAACCAAGAACTGACCAGTCAATAACCTCCCATGTTTTCCCTTATTTTTGGTACAAATAATCCACCAAACTAACCGTTAGTATGCTAGAGATCACAATAAACAACATAAATTAAAACAGATGGTAACTACTAGAGACCATCAATGCATGATAAAAAACATAGTGTACCAAATCTTATATTAATAACTGCAGATCTAACAATACCCGCCCAACAAGTTTCACCATGTCCTCAAGGTGAAAAGAAGGAAACTGAGCAGAAATGACTGCATAGGATTGCCAAGTATTTTTGATGGCATGATCATGACTCGATGGCAGCCCTTTTGGTCCCTCAAATAAATTCCCAAATTCTACTAATGACTGCTGCAAATCAGAATTATCTGAGTCTACCTTTGCATTCAATTTAGCCAGTTCAACAGAATACCCTTCTCCATTTTGTTCCAGTCCTTTGAACAAGGTTTTAAGTGAAGCCACTGATTTGGACAACGAAGGACCACCTTTAATAATCTTTGTTTGCCTTTTTGTTTGGAACTTGTCAAACTCAAGGCTTTGAATTTGACTTGAATATCTCCAAAGTTTCCAGCCAATCTAATCCTAGCCTAGGTCAACATCAGCATTGCCCAAGTTAAACAGAATAATCTTGTATGATTTGCAAACCATCGATCCAGAACTCCACTCCCTTGCAGACTGAGTGCCCAATTCTTTTCTTTGATGCGTTCGCTTTGATCCATAATCTGGCTGAGAGAACCCAAACTACTAAGACACAATTCTGCCTTAATTTTACTATCACAAACATTGATAAAAATCCCTGTTTATACCTCATCATCTGCATCTTTCAAGGGTGCAGACAGCAATTCAAAATCCTCTGTATACTGTGCAATGCTTCCACTTTGTTGCCACCCTAAAAAAAACTTCATATAAGTTCCTTTGCTATGATGGAGTAAAATGTTGAACGATAGCCACCCGAAATACATCCCATTTGACAATTGGTGTTCTAGCTTCTCATCCTTGAAACAAATTCAAGGCTTTACCGTCAAAGCACACGGAAGCAGCCATTAACTTATCCTTGTCACCAATACCTTGAAGTGAAAATATTGTTTTGCTTAATGTTTTAGAAGGTGTTGCCAGATGGGTTAATAGGACAGCCAATTTAGAGGCTGATGCCTTAGCTAAAGAAGGAATTGGCTGATTCTGTGTTTATAGTTTGGATGTTTTATAGCTGTTTCGAGCTTATTTTGTTGGTGGGGTTATAATGGTTGTATCTTATGTAATTTTTTGGTTCAATAAAATCCTAAGGCTCTCTTTTCCTCCTTCCGCTGATTAAGGAGTTCCTATAAGCTCCATTAATCAAGATGGGGGGTTTTTAACGAGGCCTGAAATTGTTATAAAAAAAAGCCACCTGTACGGATTGTCATTAGAAAAAAAAAAAACTGGTGAGGCTCATCTCAAAGCTGGAGTGCCTCCAACCGACCTGCATGGCCCTGGCCAGCAGTGTTTTCAGCCACAGCTTCAGACACCTTAGGAGGATCTGTGAGAACTGTTGATTTGCCTTTCACCTGTCGACGGATTTCAGTATCTATTTCATCTATTTTTTTTTCAACCAAGCTTGTAACCCGACACATGAAATCCTTCACTTGGACATCTTGCATAGTCTTCTCCTACCCTTCAATCCTGCGCTCCAATCTGGTCTAAATCATGAATCTGATTCCAACTTGTTAGAAAATTGGAGAATAATTGAATAAACTGGAGAATAATTGAATAAACTGAAGAATAATTCCATAAACCTACTGCCAATGACAGATTGTGTATAACATTTGAAAATACCAGCTTACAATGCACTTTGAGGGACCTTTTTAATCCTGCCATCTTTAGTCTTGGACCTTCATGTGGTGGACAAAAGCCAAGAAGAAATATTGTGATGCTTGAAACCCATCTTTATTCTATTTTAGGGTCTTGTTCTGAATGCATAAAGAGCTAGCTATCATCAGTCATTGTTTGACCTTGGTTTTCTAATGGATTTGGGTGATGATAATATTACCCATAATAGTAATTTGTTATTTGATCATCTTGCAGACCTTCCTTTATCAAATTCTCCGTGGAATTGCTTATTGTCATTCTCATAGGGTTCTTCACCGAGATCTAAAACCACAAAATTTGCTGATAGATCGCCGTACCAATGCACTGAAGCTTGCTGATTTTGGTCTGGCCCGAGCATTTGGTATTCCTGTTAGAACATTTACGCATGAGGTATCAAGAATCATCATGTTTGAGGTTTTTGGATGTTCACTGTCGTATGGTTAATGGTTGTCTTTTTCTAGGCATTTATTGTTGATAAACTCTTGAAAATAATGTTTCATCCTCTTACTATACATAACAATTACAAGTTGGAACAAAGAAACTTCAGTTTGGTTCAGTGGCGGATCTAGAAATTAAAAAATGGGGGTCCAAAATTTTAATACTCTATTCTAAAAAATTTTGAGTATGTAAATTTTCTTATTTTTTTCTATTCCTATTAACAAATTAAACTAAATTTAACATTTTTCTCAAAATAATGGGTGTGCAATGGCTCCCTAGGGAGCCATGTACATCCGCCCTGGTTTGGTTTGCATGTTTTGTAGGATAAAATTATTTCGTTTCTATTTCTGATGACATAAACTTAGGATTATTGTTACTTGGGGTCTCAAATGCAACTTTAAGCCCCTTTAGAGCATCAGTGAATTGGTTTTATTTGGATATGTTATAATGTTTAGAAGAGAAGTGTGTGGCTATTAACTGCAAGCTCAATATTTTCAGTACATAAGCATACCAGTATTAGCTTGGTTTCTAAAGTTGTCTTTATCTCTAGGTTGTCACCCTGTGGTACAGAGCACCTGAAATACTGCTTGGATCTCGCCATTACTCGACTCCTGTTGATGTGTGGTCCGTTGGCTGCATTTTTGCTGAGATGGTGAACCAACGACCATTATTTCCTGGGGATTCTGAGATTGATGAACTATTCAAGATCTTCAGGTGTTGTACCCTCCTTACCACAGTTGTAGCTTCATTTTATTTTAGTTTCATTTGCTGAATTGGTAAAGTTTTTTTTATTTCTGATTTTAGTCATTTTCTTTTTCACCGTTGGTGCATTCTCTAAAGTCTTTGCTCAGATAATCTTGAAGGAAAATTTATGTCATTCAAAAATGATTTAGGATATTGTTTAATTATGGATCTGAAATGAGAACAGGCTGTTCTTAAATTCATAATTCGTTTGCATAGTGGATTGAACACCTCCCCCATATTTGTGTGTGTGTGTTGGGTTCAGCAAGGTTAAGTTTCTATTTTTCTGTTTTATATTATTCTTGCTCAGTCATTCTGCTCTTAGGGAAGATTTAGTATTTAATTATTCTTGTCATTTTGTCCAATGTCTGCATAAACACTAAATCTGGGATGACTTTGGATATTAAGAGGCAAACTGTCTTTTGCATGTTTTGGCTTGTAAAACAAGAAAAGAGAAACTTTAGCTAGACAAACTCTTAGTTTAATTTTAGTAGTCTTGATTATTTTTGTATCATTTTATATCATTCATGTGAGCCATTTTTTGAGCCTTGCATCCCGGGCTATGTAGGACTTTGCACCCTAAGTGCGCCTAGTGCCCTTGATAACACTGATAACGAGAAATATTCTGTGTACTTGGTCAACTAACTACCACCTATATGTTCTCTCCAGTTCCTTTACACTTCAATTTATGAGATTGGTTGCATTCATCATATGCATGAAAGTTTTGCATAAGCCAGTCTTTGAGCATTGTTGGTGCTCAATCTTGACAATGCGACAACTAGGAATGTTTTTAGCAGCTCGACTTTAATGCATTAGGGTCTTAAAATTTAGCTTCTTTACAATTCATTTGCAGTGCCATAACGATTCATGGGTTTTGTTTGCATAAGTTGTTACTAATAACAGTTGATAGTATTATGACTTATGCATATACTCAAATTATCTTCTTCTTTTTGGAATTTTCTTTTTTGATTTTTAAAATCAAGTCTCTTTTTATCTTTTGAATTTTTTGTTAAAATATTTAGGAAAAATAACACTTGACACATTTTAATTGGTCAATATTGCTACACCAGCATTTTGACTAATATTGTTAGTCAGTGGTGCAAAATGCTTGATGGAATGGAAGTTGGGGGTACCTAATCCTGAATTTTTTTCTTTAGGTTCCAAATCTTGAAAAGTGGTACAGGGCCAAATTTTATAGTACCCTTTTGAATAAGTCTTACAGTTTTACTCTTCTGACATTTCATTCCTTGTTCTTAACCTGCAGAAGACAATGCATTGCCGTAAGTCATAACCATGAATACTTGTTTCGGAAGTTTTATTTGGCACTAGAAAACACGGATCCTGTCAGAAATTCTTATTTTGACAACTGGATTTATTTCTTGTTTTTAATTTCCTTCTTGGTAATGGGCCTATCGGGGCTCTTTATCAGTATTTAGGTGGTCCATATTCCCACAGAATTCTTTATACATGTAAGTTCAAAGCAAAGGGGGCACTTTTAGGTCGTTCAACATAAAAGAATTGCCTTTTGGATGTAGCTTGTAGGAAAATATCCATGCACATTCACTCCCAAAATCTTGTGCATTCATTTTAGACTGATCTGTTATTATTATTATTAATATGCATATTCTGTGAAGAATCTTGGGTACTCCAAATGAGGATACATGGCCTGGAGTGACTTCATTGCCTGATTTTAAGTCTGCTTTTCCGAAGTGGCCGTCTCAGGTAAAATTATGTTTATGGCATCGAGAGGCTGTATGTTTTGTTGTGAACCTATTAATGAGAAAATTTTGTTTGAACTGATTGATGCACCTTTTACTTGCAGGATTTGGCAACTGTTGTTCCAAATCTTGAATCCAGTGGCATTGACCTTCTATCTGTAAGTGTTTATTTGGGGTTTTTTTTTGCTTCACTTTTCCATGTGAACTAGCAAGTATCAAAGTGACATTATAAAACATCTTTCACAGTTCTCATAGTTATGGGCAAAAGCTACATGGCAATTACTTAAGATAATTTGAGAATGTTTAGCTGATTTTTGCTTTCTTAAGCTTTAGTGTAGACATGAATGACTTTGGACTATTATATCAATTCTTTGTGTATGTTGGTGATAATTATCTTAATCGTGGCCGATCTTAGTAAATTTTAGAAAAGTTGTTTTTCTGATTTAAGGGCAGCCATTTTCCTGAAATGGAATAAGTTTTGATGGTCTTTGAATGCCACCATGGTTTTGGAATAAGACAAAATCATAACCATATATGGCTTCTCTGCAATTCGAACTGATTATACATTCTGTCTATTATCATCCAGAAAATGCTGTGCATGGATCCCAGCAAAAGAATTACGGCAAGAAGCGCTCTTCAGCATGAATTCTTGAAGGATGTTGGGTTTGTACCCTAACTATAGGGTTGTGGACCCCTCCCCCAACTATCTTCCTGGGAAGTGTCTATATCAACTAATGTGCTGTGTAGCAATTTGTGGGATTTTTAATCGTGAGAAATTAAATGGTGTGTGGTCTATATATATATCTCCTATTTTTCTGTGTTTTGTTTGTCCGTGAGTTTTTTTTCCTTTCGGTGATGGACCTTTGTTTTGCTATCGGATAAACACTTTTTCCCGTATAACTTTCGCCTACCTACTGATCTACAAGTATACAAGACAATCCTTTGGTTTGGATTTTCTATTGCTTTTGATTTGACCGGCTGAAACGAACTGCCATAAGGCAGGCAGTCATATTTTGGTTTTATTTAATTTCATAGAATGGCTCGTTGGTTAAGCAAAGATAAGTTTGGACTATATTGTAGTATAAGATAAGGTCAAAATAACAATGTAAATCTTATGAGAGTTTGGATTCAACAGCAGCCTTTCATTTAATTTGCATAGAATTCAAAGAAATCCATGGGCTTGGGATAAAAATGTATTTCTTCCAAGTAAACACGATAGACCAGGCCTTTGAATTTGACCTAATTGATCATCGGCCCATATATATGGTTTGAACTTTGAAGTTTGAACTTGAATATCCAAAGTCAACTTCCAATTGTTGAAAGATTAATTCCTAGGTGGCAACAGTTTCGGTCAAAACGTGTCCCTTAACTGTTAATGTGTCTAGATTCAATGAATCCTAAGGTTCACAATAGATTTGGTTGGCATTGCCTCAAAAAATCTCAATCGATCAAGCGTTAATTTGTGCAGTTAAGGGGCCTGTTTCCTCGAACAATGAATCTAATTCCATATTTTTCACGCTTTCCTACAATAAAAGCAAAACAGAGGAGGTGGTGGTGGGTAGTGGGTGGACAAGTCGGTATAACGTAAGTGGGAAATCGGGAGGGAGGGCAGCTACAAATACCGAGCTGCAGGCTTCAGCTCCCTTTACAAATAACAGTATCCATCCATCTGGGAAGAAAGAGTAAAAGAGAGAGGCGGCATTCAGCACCCATCGTCCTTGTCTTTCTTTCTTTTCTATCTTATTGTAAGTCCTCTTTGTGCATTATTATTATTATTTCTCATCATGTTTTCCTTCTTCCCAAACCACAATGTAATGTATTCCCCTGCCTTTTCCCTCTTTTCTTTAAACAACTTACATTTAATCAGTTTAACTGTTATCATGAGCATTCACAGCATATGTTAGATTGAATTAAAATGCATTTTTTCTTTTACTCCTCTTTGCTATTAGGTGTTTTCTATAACCATGGTTCTCTGGGTTTTTGGTTATGGTTCACTGGTATGGAACCCTGGGTTCGAGTATGATGATAAAATCATAGGCTTCATCAAGGATTACAAGCGTGTTTTTGACCTTGGTAAGTAATTTATCAATGTACGACAACATAATTATTTCTGCAAGTATATTTTGTTTTACTGGTTATGAATCCTGTCTATTTTGTATTGCAGCATGCATTGATCACAGAGGTACACCTGAAAATCCTGCAAGGACTTGCACCTTGGAACAAATTGAAGGAGCCGTTTGTGTAAGTAGTAGTTGATAGCAACTCTTCCATGTCAGATGATACACTTGTTCTCCCGTCTGTTTTCACCTAATTTTGTGCTGATTATGATAGGCAATATTGATAGAAAGATCTGGATATTGGGTTTTTTTTTTTGTTTGTTGATCATTATTGCTAATTATTAGTTGTATTGTTAGGAGCTGCATGTTTTCTTTGTTTTCTAACTGTGAAGTATTTCTCCAGTGGGGTGCTGCTTATTGTGTTCGTGGCAGTCCTGAAAAGGAAAGAGCAGCAATGGAGGTATTGTGCATCACACTTCACACTGTATTTCTTCATTGAACATTCTTCATTATCTCAGGCATTGTTTCTATCAAATTCATATTACTCAGAGAGAAATTATCTCTGTTTTTTATCCTCATTTTGTAGTACTTGGAGCGGAGAGAATGTGAATATGATCAAAAGAACCTAGTGGACTTCTACAAGGTATAATGGGAGTTTTTCTTTTTTTTTCTCTCTCCATGTTTTTTTTGTCACTACTTGTCTTAATATATGATTGCTTTCAATCAGGAAGCAGATCCCCTGCAGCCTGCTCTAACAGGAATTATTGTGTAAGTTACCCATGCTTCTAAATTCCCATCATATAATTTTTTTTTAATTGCAGAAAGAAGTTGCTTTGTGCATAATTTTCTTAACAGAAATGTTAAACATGCAGTTTCACATCTACCCCCGACAAAGTTTCAAACAAGTATTACCTGGGGCCTGCGCCATTGGAGGAAATGACAATGTAATATTCTGATCCTTCCATTTTGACCTTTTGATGAAAGTTTTTATGTTCACTAATGGATGTTAGATTTTCAGGCAAATTGCAACTGCTGTTGGACCATGTGGAAACAACAGAGATTATCTTTTCCTGCTGGAGAAGGCCATGTATGATATAGGTGAGTCATTTTTCTCCTTCAAACAGACCACGGATACGTCATATTAAGAACAATATGTGGAATTTGAATGACTAATTGAGAAAAGAAATGGGATTTGTTTGTGTTAAACAGGTCATGAGGATGACATGGTTATAGAGCTGGCAAATGAAGTGAGGAAGGTGCTTGGAACAATGGGGAAAGGAGTTTCTAAGGAGAAGCAGTTAGTAGGATCTCCTCGGAAGAAACCATTTAAGTCCCAGACCCAAACTTACATCCCTTCCACTCAATTGCTTCCGCTTCCAAAGCTGTTGCAATGGACTCCTAGTTTTTCCATCAACAACTGAAACGACGGAAAGTTAACTAGAAGGGCCAACCGTTTTATTTCTAACCCAATACATCTGTCTTAATCTAAGTACCAAAGTAGAGAGTTCTTTTTTATTCCTCTTTTTAATCATATAACTTTTGTGTTCCATTATCCAGAGCAATCTTTAGGGTTTCACTAGCACTTGCCTGCACCAGGGATGATCCTTCAAAAGAAACGCAAGTAGCTAGTTGCCTTTTTGTATCCTTGCTGAATCTGAACAAGTATTAATTTCCAAATTAAAATCACAATCGCATGCAATAATTTTAATAGCCATACAATATATGCACATCTATAAACTGGGTTTAGCCCTTACCCACATATGAATGTGAAGTATTTATCCCATGAAATGATGGCATTCTTTTTGAAATAAAGGAATCGATGTGATTATTTTTTAGTTCCATCAGGTATGTGTTGGGTGTTTCGGAGCGTGTCCCTCCAATATCACAAACGATTCCACCAGTAATTTGGGGTCCATCATCCACTTCCCACCAACTCCTAGTATGCTGCTGCATTTGTTGCACAAACCTTACCAGTCTATCATCGGGTCAGGCCCCAATCCACATGGCACTGCATGCAACAACCGACTTTTATGTTGCTCTTCAAGTGCCATAAGTTGCTTATCTGAAGCCGCAAATGTCAGCTTGGCCTTAAACGTAAAATATGTCTGCATCTGTCTCATAATTTGACCAAAAGGAAAATGTAGTACTATCCATAATTTTCATTTCCAATTTTGCAGGTTAGTGGGAAGTGAGAATATTGAAAACGATTTGAATATTTTATCTTGCACAAAAACTACATGTCAACAAAATTTTCATACCTAAAAAAAAACTATAATATAATCTTTGATGGTTTCAGTTCGTAATTTGTCGGTACATCCAATAAGCAATCAGATCAGATAGCAAACCCTGAAATGTTAATAATTATTCTGACCTTGAGGAAAAAAATCAATTTAGACTTCCACAATAAAAGAAAGTAAATTTGATCTGTAAATAAAAAAGTTTAAGTTTTTTATATAAAAATTTATCATTTAAATAATAAAATTATTTGTTTTTAGAAAATATATAATTTTAAAATATATGTTTTTGAATTAATGATTATAATCAATTTAATATATGAAATTATAAAATTTAAATAATAAATTATTTTTATATAATAGAATTATATAAAATAAATTTACATCCCAAGCGAAACAGGCTCACACTCTAGTTTTAGATAAGAACATCACCACAAGTAATATAATTCACAAAAGCACTAGTCTTAATTAATTAGGATAGTACCACGTAAAACAGATCAAAAGACTCCATTACATTTGAGGTCAGGTGACAAGTTGCACAAATAATTTAATAAAATAACTCTAATCTATGTATGAAGAAGTAACAGAGTACTAATATAGGATGTGAAATTATATCAATATATAGAGCTAATTTTAAAGTTTGACAATACTCTTGGTTCTTGAATCTAAAAATCATAATTAGTCTAAGTGAAATTAAGTTGATGTAAGCTTGAATTCAAAATGGTTGATAAGAAATCTACTGTTAAGTAAGTTTAAAAATGAAATGTTAAAGGATGAGTTAGATATGATTACGAGAAGAAACAAAGTAGTTGTTGAGGAGGGATGGAGGCAATTTTACGTTGATTTCTTTGCATAGAGAAACGAGATAAGGAAGAAGAAGAAAAGTGAGGAAGAAAAAGAAGAAGACACGCGACATAATTTTATTAACCGTAACTTTATTAATGTTCGTTAAGTTAGGGGTTAATATTGGATGGATGAAAACTTTAAGGGGTAAAATGGGCCAAAAACATTAAGATATAAAGTGAAAAAAGAGATATACATGGAGAGATAATGTATATTATGTTTTTTTAATAAATAGAATTAATGGTAAGTGCATGTAATGATAACCAAGGATTGAAGGAGGATTGCTATCACAATTATTTAGCTCAGGGAATTAATTTGGGTCATGTTTTATATGGTGCTCTTTTGGAATTCTTGGTCCCAGCCCATAAATATCCCTTTATTCTTCTATATATAGCTTGGTAAATCCAAGTGATGTGATCCTACTCCTGCACCTATTACTCTTCTTCTATATACAGCTTGATAAGATGAAGGACCAGGTAGCATTTACTTACCTCTCACATCTTTCCATTTACTTTACATATCATTACTTTGCAAATACTTTATGTTATGTTGCATATGCCTGTTCATTCTACTTTACTATGCCAATCATTCATGTTATGTTATATTAATTATGATGATCACATGCCTTATGTTTCATACCATGCATAGTATGTATTTCCTTATCATATATTTAGTTAAATTCGTAACTATTATTCTTTATATATTGATATTTAGAAGCTAGCATACTTTACTTAGCATTTAGCATGTATTTCACATCTTTACTTAGCCTATTTCATGATTATGCATCTTATTCTAGCTCATTTCATTCTTATGATCTTTATTTTAGCTCATGTCATTCATACACAATATATATTAGCTCATCTTATACATTTGAAGTCATTATTAGTTTCTTTACATTGTTTACATAGGCGGTCATAAGCTTTATATGCATTTGGTTAAGTTTCATAACTTATAATTATATTTTCATTCCTTTTGTAGGTAGTTTTTTGCCAGCTCATTGCAAGCTCACTTAACTTGTGGAAGCTCACACCAGCTCAACATGGACTTAAAGCATCTCACTTTAGTTCATGGAACTAAGAAGGTAGTTGACACTAGCTAGATGGTGGCTGAACAATAGTTGGAAGGTAGCTGAGGACTTCAAGTAGATGGAGTGACACTAGGTGCCTAGCTAAGCTACTCACTCACCTAGCTAGCTTACTAAAGTGCTAGCTTGTTTCACTAGCCACCAATGTCATCATCTAGCCACCATATGCTTCATGTGCAAGTCATGTGGCTGAGGATGCATACTAAAAGGCATAAAAGAGCACACTTGATCAAGAAGTCATGTGATTTCATTAAAACAACATGTGACTTCCTTTTTGAATTCAAATGAAGGTGCCAAACATCCAAGAGATACCATCATTCGACAAGCATCCTACACCACATGTTTGGGCGCCTAAATTAAGCAACACCAACCAATACAGCCAAGGCTTCTTGTGCATCATTTATTTTTCCCTCCAAGGCCGAACCAATGCTATCATTCGACCAAATGAAGTCTCCATCAAGTGAAGGGTTAGCCGAACCAACACAAGCACCAAAGGACATATTCATGTACTATTAAATCATGTATTTACATAAAGACACAAGCAAGACCAAACCATCACTTGTTCATTCGGCCATCTCCTTTGATTTCCTATATAAAGCCAATGCCTTGGCTATTGTAAGGTATCAATCCCTTTTCATATTAATATTATTGTGAGGTTTCCTCTTTTCCTAAGTTCTATTGAACTTTTATCGACTTATCAAGTTCCTTTGGTTTTTGTGGCCTCAACCCCTTCTTCCATTGATACTTTTTGGTTGTTTTGGTTTAATATACCAAAGTGGTCAAAGTCCTTTACTATCACCCCTTGTTCAACTAATAAGGTTTGGCGTTAGGCTTTCATATAGCCTAGTTTCTTTCTTAGTTGTTCAAGATACTATCCATTCTTATCCATTTTTTTCATAAGCCCATCACCACACCCCAAACACTTCTGCAACCAATCTATTTTATATTCATAACAAACAATCCACCATTTCACCCTTACATCTACTACCAAGCCTTCTATTTTGAGCCTATCTTCTTTCAGGTGCTTGCTCATTCACTAGATACACAATCAAAGGCAGAAGTGCCTTACATCAACAAGGTTTTAGTATAGCCAAGTAGTATAGCAGTTAGGGACTTAAACGAAAGAGTTAAGACAACTAGGGATGATTTTGTAGAAACCAAATACATTTATTTGCATAATATAATTTATTAACTTGTCATTGGCTACATTGAGCTCTCTTCTCCTCATGTATGAACTACATAACATGCATAATAGAGGAGCATATTCCATTAATTTGTCGATTTCGAAATTGTCTTACTTTATTAGATTATGAAGAAATAAGTTGAGAGAAAATATTTTGGTTAGCAAGTTGTTGAGAGATTGTTGCTAACATAATAGTTTTTCAAGGTTTTTTGGTGTAGCTTTTCATGTGAATCTAATGTAATCCCCAATATATAAAGATTATTTTATGTATTGGGAAGTTAAGGAATATACAATGGTTTATATCTTGTTCATCACTCATTATTTATCATTTTTAAATTCATACCAAAATCCAATGTTCAACATGGTATCATTCATTGTTGGTTATAGGTATTATTGTTTTTAATTGTGCTAGGATCTATGTCATCGTGTTTTGAGGAACGTCGTATAAGTTGAGTGGAGTTGTGGTCCTTTGAAAATTTTTACGAATAAGAAAGTGAGTGTGATTCTTGATGAACTTAACTTTCTACAGTGAAAACAACAAGTTTTGTTGGTTGTACAGAGCCGTCAGTTAGAGAAGATGTTACTTGGCTTGATCAATCACCACCATAGACAGTGGTTCTTAATAATTGCAATACTATGGAAAACAAGGACTGTGAGATTTTTTATGCTTAAGACAATGCACTAGTATCATGGCTGTTGTCAACTGTGAGCCCTCAATTTCTACCTCAACTAGTTTGAACAGAGTTCGCTGGTGATCTAATATCCCAAATATTGAATTAGGGACTTTATTGAGGATGTATTCGAGTAAATAATAAAAGATGCGAAGGATCTATAATAGTGTTTAGACTAAAGTGTATCACTTGATAAAGTAAGAGAGCATTTTAGTCTTTTAAGAAGATAAAGGATTTAAAATATATCATAGTTAGGGTTTTAAATAGGGGAAAAAGAGGAAAGTGAAGCATTTATTTTCTTCTTCTTCTCCTTCACGTGAGTGGTGCTATCCTCTATTGTATAAGGTAAACTTCCATTAGCTAGTTCTTTCTTTAAATTATAGGTTGCTTTGGTAACATTAAGTGATATGTAAGCTTAATG